TTTGTGCTTGGGTGACGTGGCATTCTTGTTGGCAGCTATTTTAAAACCATTATAAAATCCACTCTGCAAGATGTTGGAGTTGCCACATATCTGATCCCTTGCAGTCCTGTTGTGAAACATGTTTCTTCAACTTTGCTCTTTCCAAAAGTACTAGAACTTTATTGCATCAACATGAGAATAAAGAGAGAAAAAAATACATGTTTCAGTCAGATGGTTGAAAATAGGGAGGAAAGTTTTATTGGTTGACAATTTTTCATTTTGCATGTGTTTTACTTGGGGATAGTGGTGGATATGATACCTTGATAAGAACTTCACTGAAACAGGAAATATGTGCATATTTCTACCAAAAATCTGGAAAATAGTATATCTTAAGGCCAAATCAGAGGATTTTTATGAGGCATTTGAAAGAGGAGAGGTAAAGCAACTTGTTTCTACTTGAGGAAAGCAACACCTTTTAGGAAAATGTTAATTAACACAATATTGACTGTGATGTAATATGGGGGGAGGGGAGGGCAAACTTTAAAAATGCGCTTGTTATCGTGATAACCTACCTAAATCAAAGGTTATCCTTTGATATATCTAATACATGAATGTAGTTGTCTTACACCAAAAGCAAAACTGTATTTAACATCATGCTAGTCTAGATGTGGCTTAATAAAATACACACTCTGCATTCTGCAGCTTTGGCTCGTACGTGCTGGGTGCCATGGAGAGTGGCATGAAAAGGCAGTGCTAAGACAGGTAGACAGGGTCATAGCAAGATTGAAGTAACCACTTGGCGTAGGGGGCTAGGATGTAGCACTGAGATGGGAATGCAAATAGAACTGTATAGAACCTGGAAGGTGAAGACAAGGAGCTTAACCTCAATGTAGAAGCAGAACGGGAGCCAGCAAAGACATTGGAGGAATAAAGTGATGTAAGCAGGACGATGGGTGAGGATTTGGATGGCAGCATTTTCAGATAGCTGGTGTAAAGGAAGTCAATAGCTGGAAGCCCCAGAGTGAGTGCCTGGCCTTTAGTCTCCAGGGACTTTTATCAGTAAGAAAACTGCACAGGGTGGTTAGGGCTGAGGTTGGGGTTAAAAAAATAAAATTGCCAGCAAGTTAGAATTCATCAGGAGTCCGATTGCATGGCAAAGGTGGGAAGCGAGTGACGATTGCCTAACTTGTAACCAGTTGAATAGAAGCCCTGGGGTGTGGGAGCTTTTAAAGATTGTTTTTCTTCCTGGTGTATGTATATACTCAGCAGCATTTCTGAGGGAGTTGCACTAATTAACTCTTCTCTTCACCCTCACCCTCTTAAATCTGAGCTGAGTACAGCAGCACCGATCAGAATGGGATATATGGGACACAAGATCCTTTCTACCCAGGGCAGGCTGACAGATGTTCAGAGTTTTGGAGCAGATGTTTGAGTCTGAATCTTAGTCATTCTGTGTGATTTGTGTTGGTAGCTAGCGGAGGCCAACTTATTTATCTGGGGAACTCCCAGTGAGGTAGAGACACTTACTCTAGATGAGTTCCTGTTCAGCAGCTATTGAAATGACATGCTGGAATAATCCTTCTACGTAAATGTTTCTTTTCTTTATTCTTTCAAGTGCTTGCTGACCTCATTTCTATAGTATTTCCACAGGGTACATCTGGTTTTGGTTGTTTCATGACTCAGTATTCCAGTTTGAAAATGCAGTGTTGTGATTTAGAACATCGTGTCAGGACAGTGATATACAACTACCTATGACCTAAATGTTGTTGCTTTTGCCCTCTGAGGCACCGCTCCTGCCGCAGGCCGGGCTCCTGCCGTGGTGCGGGGTGTGGGGAGGCCCAGGCTGCACAGTCTGGACAAATGGCACAGCTGCTGCTGGTTTTTTCATCCCCTCAAGCCTGTTTGTCCTTTGTGCTCAAACACTGTTCTCCCCAGTGTCAAATATTCCTACCTGGCTGTAGCATTCAATTCCCGCTAGAATTTCTTGAGCTGCAATTATGTCTTACACATTTACCCTTTTTCTTTTGCTCTAGTCCGTTTTCTAAATTTGAGTAGCTGGGGGTAGATGCACTGTTTTATTGGTGTTAAGGCAATTGGTACAGGTTACTGGGATAACATTCTATTATGCAGTGTGAGCTGCAGTCAGAATTGTTTACTCTAATGCTTACTCAGCTTTTGTACTTTTCTGTTGAGTGTGAGTTCACATACATTGTCCAGAACCCTTTTCTCAAGCAGGTGCATTTTAGTATTTATCCAGGTTGTGACATCTGTCTCAGTGGTGCTAAAAATATTCAGCTCTCTTGCAGTTTTTTTTGAAAGAAGAGTTAATGATAATAAAATGAATTATATAGTTTCTTTTTTTTTCCCCTTCATTATTTTCCTGTAAAAACTTCGAGTTGCCCACACCTTTCAGAGATACACATCTGTCTATCAAAGATACTACATGTCATAATCTTACACACACAGAGGAACATATTTGAGTGGGAGCTGAGGAATTCTGGTTAAATGTGTCACTCAAATGTTCAAACGATACTCTCATCATACTCTCATCAGTTTCAAGATGGATTGTCAATTTATATGGCATTTAACAGTTAGATTATGGTTCAGCATCATATAAACACTTTTCTAGAATTTGGTAATTTATAATAATTTAGTTTAAGGCGGAAACGCTTCCTGGAAATTTACTTGCATTAAGTTACTACTTTAACTTAAATAACTAGGAGGTAGAGAAGGAGTGAAACTAGACTAGAATATAAAACATATTTGCTTAAGACCCATGTAATGATTAAAAGTGAGAAAATAAGGAAGCTGGCTTAATGAATACTAATGCTTCACTCTGCTGTTGACACTTCTGTCTTCCACTCTTTTCCATTGGGTTACCTGATAGTGTATTTTACATCAACAAATGTATGCTCGTTTTTAAGTGATGTCTTTTGAAAAAATCATAAAAATTGATGATTTGTGGGTTTTGTAGAGGATGACATCATTTTAACAGGCAACATTTGATACCCAGATGCACTGCTTGTTTTGCTAAAATTTTAAGGGATGAAGACTACCAGCTAGATAGTATCCTTCTCAGAGGTACATCACAAGGAACGTCATACCTCCTCATTGTATAGGTGAACAGGATTATTTTTTTTCCCAAGAGAGCAGAAGGGAGCGGGAATTCTGGGTTTCATGTAAAAAAAACAAAACAAAACAGTTATTAAATATTTAACATTGTGGGTGAGAACAGAGGTGCCATATATGCCTATGTAGTCACTTCTATGTATCTCATTATCTATGAGAGCAGTCAGAGGTGTGCTCTCAGAGCTTCATAGAAAATGATGACATGGGGGAATTTCATCGAACAAAAGTATCCTAACTTTTCCCTGGAAAGACCATATTCTTGCAGAGATACGATAAGTTGTGCCAACATTTAGTGGCTTCTTTTCATTCCTTGTCAGTTTCTTCCATAATTTTTAAGGTAATGATTGATATTAATCAGCACATGCTCAAAAAAAAGAGGCCTTTTTTACTGGAACAAAAACTCAAGGAAACAAAATAGGTTTTGTGATTTGCTTCTTGGAAAGCTAAACGCAGAATGACAGCTTTTACAGCCACATTGTACTGTGCAGAATCTTAGCATGCCAGGCCAGGTTGACAACACTTCTCAGAGCCACTTGGCCCATGAGTTCTAACTTTATTTCAGAGTATCTGCTCATGAGCAGAAGAATATTTTCAGGGTCTCTGGGCTAGCTATCCAGTACTGTTTGTGAAATCTAATTTTTGAAATGCTGTTGCAGAAATTGATACTGAAGAATTCCTAAGATATTCTTTAGAGGCTTAGTTACTTTCTGATAACTAATCTCAAAGAATAATATTTGGGCATGTGGAAGGCAGAGAAGAACCTCTGTCAACTTTTTCAAGAAAAAGAGGTGAACTGCTTTTATTAAAATTGCTTAACAATAAAGCCAATGATTACAACCAGACATTAATTTTCACAGGTTATTCCCTTACTCTTATCTTGTACAAAAAGCTCCATACAACTTCCAGTTCACAGGATGCTGCTGGGAATGTTGGCTCTGTGTTCCTGGTGTTTTTGCAGGTGAAGTTAAAATAGCCATGAGTCCAGCACATCAGCTTTTTAAGACCATATCCTTCTTTATTACCATAACTATTTATCAGTGACAGAGAGTGTTTGTGGAGAATCTAGGGAGCCCGGCTGTAAGGTCAGTGACATTACAGCGATGCTAGAGCCTTTGGAATGAATGGGAGAAGGAAAAACATGAGGATAGCTGTCATTGCTTATGGTTTAGCTGGGGTGGGGGATGGAGCTGGAAGGGTCTGCTAATACAAGAGTAAAAGTGCTTCTTCAGGGTCTTTGTAAGTGAGATTAGCTCCAAATCCCACTGGTGCCCTTTATTACTACTTCAGCACCATTAAAGAAATGGTTTTTGGGTCTGAGATAAGATAATCTGCATATTTATGGCATCTGCTGCTGTATTGCTCTAGACATACTGGGGCTGACAAAATTTCATTAATTTCAGGACGGAAGGATCAGGCAGCTTTTCAGAGTCTGGTATCTGCTTTTCTTGGGTGACCTCTGGCATATGAAAGTTTTTTGTTTGTTGGTGGAACCAAGTGATAACATTCCTCTGTGGGTACTGAAGGGCTTATTTCTCCTTTATCATTCCCATTTGGAGTTTCTTATCTTGTATGATTGACAGAACATAGAAATGCTAAATATTAATCTACTTTGTAAAAGCATTTGAATATGAAAACTTTCTTCTTTCCCCTGTACAATCTAGTAATCTCCATTAAATTTTTGTACTAACGTATGTCCAGAGTATTGTAAAATAGCACCAAATGCATTGACTACCACTAATAGAGTAATTGATTTATTTCCTGGAAAACAACTTCTGTGCTTTCTCTAGTGTTTTAAATTAATCCTGTCAGTAATAAATACATATTCTTAACACCTCAACACTTTGTATATACTATATTTGTCATTAATTTATTTTTTATTTTTTTTTAAACAGGATTTATCTGGGGAAGGCTACAGAGACACTATTGGTGATGAACACTTTCATCTAGAAGGTATTTAAAGAACAATTTTTCTTGGTTAATATTAAAGGACATTGGAGTAAGTCAGTGAACAGTTAGTGTGAGAATGCTGTTCTTGATATACTGATGTGTCATTTGCCTGACAAAACTGCTAAGATGGGAATAGGGTATTATTTCTGTATGTCCTACCACTGTCATCCTAGTATCAAAAAAAATCACCCAGTTGTATCATAGAGACCAAGTGTTTTAATTCAAGGTCTCACGATTTTTTTTCCAGGTAGTTCTCTTGACATTGGTAGCAGTAGTGAATATCGCTGTCCCCAGCAGAGGTGGCAGATGTGATCACTGAAAACATTAGCATTGGGGTTTGCGATGCGCTTCACACCCTTTTGTGTTACTCAAACCAGACTTAGAAACTCCTGCATTAATTTCCAATAAAGACCAGAGACTCTTACTCAATACATTTCTCTCGAATATGAACGGAATCATTATTGCCTCAGATAACTTCTTCTTTCCAAGGCTCATCTCCTCTCTTCCTCTGTAATCAAGCCTCTCCTTGCACTGGAGGTGGAATCATTGTTGTGGTGGGAAAGGCCTTCAGGGACCTTGAGTATGGACACTTTATTCTGTGTGCCAGGGAACACATCTGAGGTACCTTGAACGTCATTGAGCAATTAGGGTTGATGAACGGAAGAGATTAGTTTGACAACACTGTTGCTCATTCTTTTAAAAGAACAAGGAAATGAGGCTTCATAAACTCTCTGGGAAACTCTCTAGTATTAAACAAGTGGTTGTGTGGGCTATATGCTAGATTTACATTATAGGCTAGTGGAAACAATATGCCCAGTTTATTTAGAGCAATGAACCATGTCAAGCTTAACTTGGAGATTTATGTCCTTTTGTAGTCCAGTCACTTGCTTCTGGTGGTAGATACTCCTGTCGAAACAAATCTTGAAAGATTCTCTATGCCTGTCTTCCAGTTCCTTACCAGTGAAATGTGTTAATATACCGTGTTTCTTGGATCCCATGTTTCTGTCATGTCTGTAGTTTACAAAGAATGTTCCCTGGTATGTGCCTGCAACATAGGAGGTCGATTTCAACTGGTGCTTGTAGGCTACTGTTGAACACAAAAGCAAGATACGCTTGCCATGATAAAGTCAGTGCTTGATAAAAGTTTTTCAGTATTTAACTTCACCAGTTTTCCTTTCTGCTCATAGTAGGACATAACTCTAATGAAAGGTAGCTTTTGAATTTTCAGAATTGTAGAAGAATCTACTTAACACAGGATATTAAATGTCAGTGAGGTGAATAATTTCATTTTTCTGTGTCTCATTCTACCTTTCCTTGCTGCTAATTATTTCTTGCTTTGTTGTGTAGAATTGTCTTGCACAGCAAACATAATATTCAATATATAATATTTCCAAGCTAGTCAGCAGCATGATTGTTTTTAATAGAGTGTAAAACCTTTCAGGCTACTGTAATTTCAGTCTTTCACCAGTTTTACATTATACCTTCTGATGCGTCTCATTTCTTATGAAGCAGCTGAGTAGTGAAGACAAGATTTAGATACCAGCAGGTGGTCCTTTCTTTGTGCGCTACCACTGGAGAAGAGCTGTTCTATGGCATCTTTCCAGTTGGGAGCCAGGTAACTGTTGCCATCCAGTGCTCAGGCAAACACATGCAGCTTGCCAAGGCTTGGTCCTCATCCCTTCTGGTCTCAAATCTCCAGGCTATGCTGGGGACAGTGTTAGCCACTTCCCTCTTGAATGGAATATTGAAAAATCTTATAATTAACAGATGATACTGGAAGCATTGTGTTAAAGCAGGGTGCTTTCACCCTTTTTTTATAACTCCATGCTTTTTACTGGCATACTATTTTTTGATGATTGTGATAGTACTAGCATAAAATTGTGATAATAGCATAAAGTAAAGCTGAAACACGATTTGAGACCCTTATTAGGGCACAGCTTGAATTCTGTGTGGCTTAGGTACAAGATGACCACTGTCATGGCTCTTCTCTGCATAGAAATGTTTTGTGTGAAAAAGAATTAATATTCTAGAAAGTATATTAATCTTTCCATCTAAAATAGTTGTTCTGCCTTTAGTTTGCTACCTCAGTCTTCGCATATGTACTGGTGTAACACATATATGTTGAATGATTATACTTTCATCTGTCATATATATATATATGACATATATGTTTATATGTCAGATAACATCAACATCATAGATAACTAGTTTCAGAGACAGGGAGCTGTAACACACTGAAACATGGTTGGTTGGGCTAAGCTCACAAAGGACACAAATGGCAAAACAAAGACTTGAACGCAGCTCCACCAAGTACCAGGCAAGTGTCCAATCAATGAACTATACTCTTGTCTTCATAAATACACAGTAGGGATGGAAAAAATGAAAAGAGAAACATTTCTCAGATTTGCAAAAAAGCACAGCAGGTGCCACAGTTCTCGGTTAGGGGAAAGTTATAGCCTTCACACTCAGAGACTATTGGAGAATAAATCCGAGTTCTTCAGAAGACTCTGACTGAAAAGACAAAGTGGCAATAAGAGAAATAATTGAATTCCTTTTTTTGTTTTACATAGCCAAGTTCATTACCTTTTTTTTTTCCCTTCCTCTCTTTTTTCCCCGTCTTAGCTGTCTGAGCAGTACAGATAAAAAGAACTCTCTCTGCTGGATTTAACTTCTGTGTTGTTATGTAAAGCTTGATCAAATCCTTTCGTCTTAACAGACTTAACTGGCCAACAGCAAAAGGCTCGGGATTCTGGGATTAAGATTGTATTTGGTAAGAGGACTGGTGCATTAGTGCTTTCTTTTGAACTATAGAAAGAACAAAGTAAACATCAAAAGCATTAAGCCACGAGAGCGGATTGTTGACTCAATGTTGCTGCATGACAAGAGGTTAGAACTCAATAGTGGCGATTCTGTTTACTGAGTGCTGTGCAGAAAGAAACAGTTTGGCCAGTATTGTCTGTTATATCCAGCACCTGCATTTGATTTTGCTGCTGGGCAAGTCAGTAAATTGAAATTTTTGGATTTTCTCTTATGTGGTCAGTGATTTCCTTAGATAAGAGACACCAATGGGAACGTCAGTCTCTTCTTATATTACTCATACTCTGTTTCCCTTTTTCTTCTGTCATTAATAATATGACAGTTGATATAGGTTCTGTAGTGGATTCATTTGCAACTTTAACTCCAAGTTTAGCAGTGCTTTCCCTCTGCATTCCAGCGACTTCCACTTGCCAAACTTAGAGGACTCAAGCAATCTGCTGTGGCTGTGTACAAACTTCTCACGCTTGAGCTTTCTTGTCCAACAGTTTCTGCACAGGAAGCATGTGCTTCATCGCTCTTCATGTCTAGGATAAAAGAGCTTGCATTTTCTCTTCCTTGTCCCTAGATAGAATAGTAGGTTGCCAGAACTGAATGGCTGGAGGTGGCTCTGAAAGAAGTCACAAAAACTAGCATGGACATTGGGAGCTATTTTTAATTTCATTTCAGTGGTGAAGCTAAAATGGCAGGCAGGAATTGAAGGTAGCATTAAACAGCAAGTCACTCTTCCATCATGATGACATACTGGTGGCTCAGAAAGGTATCTGTTATTAATGTAATCAATAATGACTTCCAAGTTCTCTCTCTGCTCTTCAAGGCATAAGTAAGCTTTTTAATGAATTGTTCAAGAGTCCTGCCCTTGTTTTCCAGAACTTTTTTCACCTCTTTTTTCCAGATGCTTTGGGAAATTTTCACAGCTAAAGCACGTAGACCAGGAGGGCTTTCTTATCCCTTGAACATTTAGAAGCTCTTCAGAGCAGCCTGTTTTCTCCCTGCTTGTGACATCTGAACCAGAAGCAGGAAGATCTTCCTCTGACACAGAGTAATTGTGGAAAAGAGGCAGTTTCCTATTTGTCTCAATACAAGCTCTCCCAAGCCCAGTGGGATATAGCTATCAGTCAATTTGGCTGCCTTTTGGAGTTGAAGGTGAAGTCCTTAAGCTCAGGAATCACAGGATCAGAATCCTGTGATATATATAACTATATCTAGTTATATAATAATGCGTTTTCTCGTGTCACTGTTCTCCTGAAAAGTATGATTTAAGTGTTTCTAGTAACCAGAAATCTTGCATCTCTGTAAGATCAGTCTAGCCCTGTACCTGTCAGAGAAGCCCTCTTGGGCTAATAGCAATCTGGTCCCTGTTTCATTTGTCAGCGGAGAGTGATGTCTTGATTATTATTCTCTCAACAGAAGACGGGAGAAGATCCAAGCCTTCCTGGTGCCTTATCTGAACATGATACCCAAAGTCCTGC